ATGTGTTGACTGCGCTATTCTTGTTTTCTCCAAGTGAAGGCACTGGAGAATAAAAATAACAAGGAGGAAGAAGAGGTTGAGAAGTGAGTCCTTCATCTTACGTGTAGGGGAACTTTGGGAAATGCATAGCCATGTTTCATGCATTATGGTATTCTAGATTGGAGCTGAGTGTAATTGAAACTAGTTCTACACTTTTTTTATTAAAAAAATTAAATGAATTGGATTCCGGGAGTTCACTCAGATAGTTCTACACCTTTTAATATAATACATGCATTATTGGCTGTCTAGTAATCATCCTTCCTCTTTAACGATGATCACTTTTTTCCCTTGTCGAAGTAGTGAAATGCAGTTTTATCTCCCTTTTTTTCCCTCTCACTTTTCTCTCCATAGGTTGTGTCAAAATTATGGATGAAAATATTTACATACTTACCAATTAAGATACTCGTTTTCAGTCAAATTAAGAGAGGTTAATTTTTATACATATGGTTTATTTTATAGCAAATTCTTGTTATTAAAATCACTTGTTCTTATTTGATTAGACATATAGTGTTAAATACCTAAATCTTCCCATATTATAAAATGATTACCTTCAAGACTTTAGAAAGCTACTACTTAAATGTCGTTTAGATTCTTTGAAGAGATTAGTACCCACAAATACCGACTGTAAAAATATCTTGGGTGACCAAAAAAAAATTCTTATGGTATTTGAACTCTACTATCATTATTTAATTAAGTAATAAAAGTAAAATGGTAAAAAAATAATTAATGGTTTATCTAAATTTAAAAAAAATTTATATAAATCCAAAGTTTAAGTGACAATCTTTATATCTATATTTCGTAATTATAAAATTTATTTTAAAAAATAATACTGACAATTATCTATCTACATACGCAAAAAGGGGGGGGCGGACAGAATCTCTTTCCAAAACTAAACAAAAATAAAAACGAATTCCCGTAATAGGAGTGCACTGAAAAATTGAAGTACAATTGAAAAAAAAAAAAAACGATTATTCCTAACGGGCTTTCTCAAATTTCAGTATGGGCTTGTTCCAAATTATCTTCAACTGGGCCTCTAATGCTCTCTGAGTCTCTGAGCGTAAACATATCACAGATGCACATGACCCAAAATATTTTCTTATTAAAAAAAAGAGAGAAAAAAAATGGGGAAGGGAGAGAATATGATTGTTACTCCCTTCATTCAAAAATATAAAATATTTTTAATTAAATCTCATATTTAATAAAATAATTACCTACTTTCAAACTAACCCTATTTTTTTATATTTATTTCTATTAAATACCATATAATAAATATAAAGTCATTCATTAATCGGGGCACTTCTTAAAAAAGAAAATGATTGCACTTTAAAAAACTAAAAATACTTTATATTTTTTAACATCTAATTCCTCAAAAAAAAAATGTTTTATATTTTTTAACGGAGTAGAGTATCTTACTTTTAATTTATTTTGCTGGCTTTAATTTACAACTATTTTTATAATTACACCAAATATGCCAAAGTAAGCAGTAAGGTACATAAAATAAGGTAATTATAATTATAATTATAATTATAATTATTAAATATGGTTAAATCCAAATCATCTCTTTCAAACTCAAAACAAACAGACGGGAATTAGCATTAGCACATATAATTATATTTCATTTACTTCAACATCTGTTGCATTTACCCTTCATTGCCTAAGTTGGAAACTTTAATTGAAAAATATTTAAATACTCCGTTTTATAATTTGATATCTCTTTATTTTTCCATTTCATCATACGCTGTTATTAATTTAATTTTGAGCTTATGATGAATGAAACAAGCATGATTAAGCGGTAAAATCTTAGTATCCTACAAGCAAGATTTTGAATTCAAGTTTTGGAGATAAAAAATATTCTGCTGACTCCTTATGATGGAGAATACTCTGTTGGGATGTAATTAGATATTAAGATTGTGTTTAGTAAAAGAATACTTATGAACAATATAAAAAAAAAAGAGTAAATGAGCAAACTACTTCATAAACTTTAGGTCAAATTGAATCATAGATTCTAAATTAGTTTATTATGTAAATTATTGTCTCAACTTTTAAATGTGGTACAATAACATTTGCTGTTAATAAAAATTAACTTTGACCGTTAGTTGATAAAAAAAATAACAAAAAAAGATTTTAAAAATTACAAAAAAGCACCCAAAAATCATAGACAAAGACTGAAAAATTTACTTGAAAGGACCAAAAAAATTATGTTCTTTTATGTAATTTTTGATGTCATCTTCTGTCATTTTTTAGTTAATTAATTGTCAAAATTAACTTTTGTTAATAGTATGAACTAAATTGTACTATTTTCAAAAGTTAAAGAAACAAATTGCACAATAAATAAATTTAAGGTGTATGATGTTATTGGACTTAAAATTCAAGAGATGGATAATTTTCTTATTTATCCCATTAAAAAAACACTTTTAATGCCAAAGGATTTTTTTTTTTTTTGCTCAATTAGAGTCCAATTAAACTTGAATTTGAATTAGTTGATACAGTAGCGTCATATTGCATATAAGATAATTTTTCAAAAAATAATTTAAAGATGTCACCGGATTGGATTCCCAAGTGCAATGATCAATTTCAATGCCATATATGGATTATGAATGTTGGTGTAAGCTACCAAGTCATGGATGATATTAATATAAATGAGACAATAAACACACATATTGCAGAGGATGATTGAGCTAGTGTTCAAGTTGCTTATATCTATTTTGAATTCTCTCCGTTATTGTTTAGTTTCTTTCTTTCTTTTTTCTTTTTTTTACAACTTATTGTTTATTTTCAATTATACAACTTCATGACCACTGCGTCTATACCAAAGTTGAAGTTGAAATCAGCCATATTATTTGGAAATTTTTAAATAATATAACTTCTTGTATATTTTATATTAATTATCAATTATATTTTGAATCTGAATGTCTTTTTTTATAATTAAATTGTAATTATTTAAATTGATATTTACAACTTATTTTTAAAACATAATTTATTAAGAACTTTACTATTATTTATTTTTCTTTTTAAGAGTTGACCCTCATTTTCTCAAAAAATAAGTATAACAATTATACAAGGATTTGAAAAAAGTCGTAGAGATATTTAACTTTTACCTACAGAAAATTCACATGTAGTTATTTATATTTGTAAATTGAAAAATCACTTGTCAATTTCATAGGATTCCCTACACAAATGCCTCATATCATACTTCCTTTTTTAAAAAAGAAAAAAACTTAGGCAATAAATCTCAAAATCCTAAAGTGATACACACATACACACAAAATATTAAAGGGAGTGGAATCTGACTAAAATTAATGTAATGATTCGGAAACAAATAATAAACAATAAAGAAAGAAAAGGGATTCAAATTTGCGATGCACCACATTGATGAGTGGCTGGCAAAGCTTAGATGCAAGTGAGAGTATTATTATTTTAAATTAATTATTATGAGCAATGAGGGTACATATACACGCAGGCAAGAAAAACACTAGTGGGGGCTCTCTCAGTCTCTCACCATATTTTCGGGAAACAAAAAAAATGAAAAGTAGAAAAGAAGTGGCCCCCACCACCAGCTGACTTTTTTTCCATTGAACAATAATTACAATATAATCCTAAATTATATTCCTCATTTGACATTATAGAGGTGTACGTTTATCATCGACATTTTCTCTACTACTTATTTATTTCATGACCACTCCAAAAAGATTTTCCAACACACTCATATATTCCTCCACTATGCTTCCAAATCGCACGTCTCTTCCACTCCTCCATCCCCCGTTTCTCTCTCTCCGTTTTTTTATTTTTAAGTTATCTAAGGTATCACCATAGCCTGCAGTCATAAATTAATTCTTCAAAAATTTTAAACATTATTTAAAAGATTTTTATTTTTTAAATAATTTTGTTTATATATATTTTTAAGAATCAAACTTTAAAATGACACTTATAATATATAAATCACTATCATTTATGTTACACTTTCTTGATCTCTCTTGTGTTGTTTTTCTTGTCTATGTTCAATCACTATTGCCTGGACTTAAACCATCAAGGCCCAAGAGAATAAACTTGCATGATTTCCTTGTGGGCTGATAATGATTTTTCTTTGGCTTATAATAATAATTTAAAAACTAAAGGTCTATTTAAAAACTTATTTTAAAAATAATTTTTTATTTTTTTTAAAAGAAGAGAATAAAAAAATTTATTTAATAACATATTTTTAAAAAGTGTTTTAAAAAATAAAAAAATAAAATATTTTTTTGAAGAACAAAAAAAAATAGAAAAAAATTTTAAATATTTTAGGATTATAGTTTTAAAGAACAAAAAAAATACAAAAATATTTATTTTTATTTTTATTTTTATTCTTAATACACGTTATACAAAACACTAATTCTCAAAATAATAAAATAAAACAAATTCAAACTACTCCGTATTGTTCTGTGCTACCATATATGTACATGTACATGTGCGCGTGAAAAAGTTATACTGACAAACTCGTTACTATAGATTACTCACACTTCATTTTGTTTATATGTATTATTTTCACTGTTTTTTTTTAATTTAGAAATTTTCGGATTACAAACAAGGTTAGACCATTCTAGCTAGTTGCTTTGATTGTACTTTTTATTGTTTTAAGCTTCACTGGTTTAATATATATATATATATATATATAGTTATATACACTTTGTTTTAAAAAATTTCATTCAATCATCACATGTTATTTACTTCAAGTAAAGCGATTTCGAAGTTAATGTAAGAACTCTCCTGGAGAAGAAAATAACAATTTTAGAATCAAAACAAAATTGTGATGTCACCAAATTGAAAGAAAGAAATAAAATTATTTTAAAATGCTCCTCCATGTCGTTTATTGGACGATAGTCCTGTGCCCTTGACATGGAAAAAAGAAGGAAAATTTGAGGAAGTCGACGACTACATATGCTGAAATCCAAGTTTTGGTAAAATGAAGAAATGAGAGAGACGAGTGATAATGAAATTTTTAATTTTTGATTTTTTTTTTTTTGTTTACAATTTCAAAAATTGACCAACATGAATTGGGGAAGCAGAGTGGAGAATTAGTCCACGCGTCACCGGCGAACTACTCTGACCACAATGCGTCGGTGTTCTGTCACCTCCGCCACACAGGCTCTTGTTTTTTTTTTTTTTAACAATTTTTCTCACCAAAAATAGCTTCATCTAACGTGGCCGTTACCGTTTAAGAAAAATAATCTAGCTATCTTCGGCCATCTCAACGTCGCCGTTAACTCCCCCCGCCTCTTCAACGGCCTCGTCGCCCTCGTCATCCACCCATCTCTCTACCGGTGTGCACTCTACCTTGTGCCGGAACTTCCAATCAAGCGCCTGACACGCGCGTGAGCAATAGTTCACCGTCCCACACACCGAACACCTCCGAAATTCATGCCGCCGCGTCTCGGGCCGGCCACACCCCACATGCGAACAAAGACGAAGACCAGGACCGGGAAACCCGCCCCGTGTTGCAAACCATTCTGTTAAGAACCGATTTGCTGGGTGGGCCTCTGGTGCTGGGACGTTGCACCCAAAATCACTAAGAAGCGGGCAACCCGACCTGGTTAGATGCCGGAGCTGAGAATGAGAGTGTTGAAGAGGGACTTGGTGTTGGTGGAGGTTCCACGTAAGCCAAGAGCGCGTGGGGTTACCAGGGGGAGCCGACGAGGAGAGCACGGCGGCCAGCTCCCGGGCGTTGGCTTGGACCAGGAAGCGCCGCCCCTCTATGATGTTTTGCCGGACGCCGTAGCCGTCTTGTAAGCAGTGGCCGAGCTCCCGCAGGGCGTCGATGTGGCCGAGGAAGGCGGCTCGAGCGCAGAGAGCCACGCCGGCTCTGAGGTCCTTGTCATTTTTGGTGCCGCCACTGCCGTTGAACTGTATTACGGCGAGGGAGTACAGCGCCGGCGCGTGAGAGTTAATCGCCGCCTTGGCTAGCAGCGAGGCTCCGCTCCCTCGGTTTTGCAAACAGTAGAAACGAATCTGCAAAGGCAAAACAGTCCACATTCAGTACTTTCATTACAAATGTGACGGATTCTGAAATTGAAATATCGCTTTCTTGAAAGACAGATTTCAAGTTTCAGAGAAAAGAAAGGAACATTTTCCACTAACCATTCCGAGAGTATAGCAGGCCTCGACGTTTCCGGCGTCGACGCACAGTTTCAGAAAATGATGAGCAGATTCGCACCAGTTCTTGGCTGTCACGGCCAAGGCTTTTGGCGAAGCTTTGGACAATACAGAAGAACTGATACCTAGTCCGTTCAGTCTCTTACACCTGTTTCCCAAAATCAATCACGTGAGATTCAAGATCAAAATGAATATTTCGATTAAAACAAGGAAATTTCCGACAGAGTGCGAAACATTGACATCACTGAAATTCCTATTCAGACACACAAATCTTGGTCCTATTTCAGACCAAATACAAGAATGTAGAAACGAAGTTAAATATTACGTACGTGATCAGGACATTGATGAAGTCGGAAGGGCAATCGGCGGAGGAACTAAGTTTGGAGAGAATAACGAGGATAAGGTCATCGTGCAAGGAATCAAAAAAAGAGTGGTCGCCGGAAGTATTTTCCGGTGATTTCTTTCGCCTTTTCCGGCTCAGAATAGAATCAATGTCCATGTCTTTCGCTCTCTTAGCAACGACTTTCAAATCTGAACACAGCCTTCCGACGGCGGCGGCTTCATTGGAACAAATGGTTGTTACGACTCGAGGATAATAGAGCCCTCCCCGGGTTCTCATGTCTCTTTGAGAGCCTTCTTCTCTGTTTGTATCTCTCTCTGAGAGATAAAGAGAGAACAAAGCAAAGTGGGAATTTATATGAGAGGAAAATGAATCACTCACTTGCAAAAGGCTAGAGGCTTCGACAACAGCTAGGACAAAGCCGAAGGTTTAAAAATTTAATATAGACAGCAACTACATTAAAAAATTAAAATTGATATTCTAATTAAAAAATTAAATGAAACCTATTACAAAAAATAAAAACATCAAACCTGCATGATCATGAACGAACATGCCTTTCGTCTCAGGAATATATACTTTCTTCTTTGGATTTAAGGAATGAATTACGTCGCTAAACCAAAACAAAATGAGATGAGAAAAAGCATTATAACTATATTTATTTTAACTTTTACATCAATAAAAATTGAAAAGTACTATATCCATTTAAAAATATAGAATATTTTTTTAGAGAAGTTGAATGTTAAAAATATAAAATTATTTTAATTTTTTAATATATAATTAATGAATTTTTTAAAAATATATTTAATAAATAAATTATTTAATTATTTATCTTTACATAAGACATCCAATAAAATAAAGGTAGACATAAAAAGATTATATTAATTTAAAATAATTAATTAACATATTGAAAGTGTAATTTAAATAAAAATGTCCTAATTTTTTTAAGAGAAAGAAGAATATATTATTAAATATAATCTATTAGTAAACATGAACTTAGAATTTATTAGTAGAAGAATAAGATTGTTAATGAACATGTTATAATAAATGTAAGAGTTAACTTGCATTTTGTAATTTTTTAAAATAATTCAATTTATAACACACTTCCTCTAATTTAAAATATAAGCATTTCTTCTTAATTAATATGAGTGCAAAATATAAGTAACCTGATACATATAAAAAAAATTCTTATCTTACCCTTTTATATTTATTAATCTAAATATTTATGTAAATATATTTTTTATTTATTATAAAATGTATTGGTAACAAAAAGGAGTATATATTAAAAGGAAATAGATGGATTATTTTAATCTAAAAAATGTGAAAAAAGGGGGGAAATCTTAAACAAAATTATCCAAGAGAGAGGGCGAGAAGGTATGTTATTACAAAAATGACCCTGGATTTGTCGTTATTGTGGTCAAAGGGAGTTGACCGAGATCCAGCAGCTCGTTGGTCATGGTCTCTGTCGCTCGTTTCCGTGTAGTGTGTACCGTAGAAATCCTTCACCCTTGTCTGCACGCCTTTTGAACAGTCTTTTTTTCTGCTTTTCCCTGTCTCCACTTCTTTATTCATGAAACCGCAAAATTAGACATAAAAAGAAATAGATTGGTTTCCGCGTACATTTTATTTTAGACAGTACAGTACATTTTATTTTTAAAATTAAATTAATTAAAAAGTATTTGAGGTTTAAGCTCTTTATTCTTCTTTCTAGCTTTCAAGTAATAATCTTCAAATTTTCCATGAATGGAAAGCAAACAGAGGCAAAACTATACACTATCTTTTGTTTGCACGCAAGAAATATTTTGCTAGTAAAAAAATTCAACCAATGAGAATGTGGTCTCAAGAGGAATGTGAATCTCGATATTGGAAATTTAAAATTTGAATTTAATGAGTAATCCAATTTATTTATTAAATAAATATTCTAATTATGATCATTAAATTTTATCAACACTTAAAAATTATTAAAATATATTTTTTAAAAATTGAAATTAATCCTCGTGATCAGAATATTCTTCATACATTGTTTCCACCAAAATTTCAAGATTTGATATTTTTTTAATATTATATGATAAAATTTCTAATAATAATTTAATTAAATTAATCATTGTTATAGTACACATCATTATTGGAGAATACAAATGATTTTTAAAATTAAATTAATTAAAAAGTACACGGGATTCAAGCTTTTTATTCTTCTTTCTAGCTTTAAAGTAATAATAATTTACAAATTTTCCATGGATGTAAAGTAAAGAGAGGACAAGGCAAGACAATAATACACTATCTCTTGTTTGCACGCAAGAGATATTTTGCTGGTATTTTGCTGGTAAAAAAATTCAATCAACAAGAATATGATCTCATGAGGGAGGTGAACGGTAACAATGGAAATATGGGATTTAAATTCACGAGTGGCATAAATTTATTCATTTAATAAATAGTTTAATTATTATTATTAAATTTTATCAACATTTAAAAATTATGAAGATATATTTTTGTTTAAAAATTAAAAACAATCATAACTATTAAAATACTCTTCATGTATATTGCTTCCTTCCAAAATTTGATATTTAGAATTTTTTTGAGTATTATATAATAAAATCTCTTGCAACAATTTGATTAAATTAAATTGTTGTCATCATATCACGTAAAACACTTATTAAATAAATAGATCCGTGCTATTCACTGAATACAAATTCAAAAATTCACAATATTTAAAATTTTCTTACTGTTGTATATCCTCAACCCTTAGAATATTTATGCAAAATTTTGCAATATATATGTTTTAATTTCAACTCTTCCTTAATTAAATCCTCACTTTAAATGTGAGTTTTTGTTATAGCTATTTTTGCAAATAATTTTGAAAAAATATCAATCAAGGATTGCTAGAGAAAATTTATATCAGTTAATGATCACTTGTTATAAAAACCTGAATGAATACTTGTTTGATTCGGGTTAATCTTTTATCAACAAGTATCTATTTTGATTTTAACAATAACTCATTTTAAATTAACAATAGTTTATTCGGGCTTGTTTTTCATTCAGGTTTTGACAACAACTGGTCTTTAACTAATATAAATTTTCTCCAACAATTCTTGATTGTTATTTTTTCAATAATTTGTTAGCAATGTCGCCACTTGAAGTGTGACAAGCCCTTAAACATGGCTCTGAGTGGTTTTTCTCTTCTCTCTCTTAGGTATCATGCTTGGCTTTTTCCTTCTGAAGTATGGTAGATGCATAGCAATGGAATGTCCTACCGGACTGTCTACTAGACGAAAGGTAAGATGACCAAAAGAAAATCAAAAAGGCCACACAAGCTATTATGGATGACCGGATGGATGAAAATAATGAAGAAAAAGAAGAAAGTTATGAGATGCCACCCACAATGAATGTGAAAACAAGTGGCAACAAAGGAGAGAGCACCAAAACTTCCCTATCCTATTGTGATTCTCTTCTGGGATTTAACGACATAGAAAATGGAGGTATAGTTTAGGAGGAAGATGATCTTTTCAAAGATGATAAAGATATCTATTGGAAATTTCTTGAGCCATCTAAAGAAGTCAAGAAAATGATGGAAATCTATTTGGTTGTTCCTATCTCTAAGAAGAAATGTGCCACTCTTCACCAACTAGAAGGTATTGATCAAAGTCAATGACTCTACCCTACTAATGGTCTCAAATGCCTTGGAGACAAATTATGATAGGATTATGTCAAATTATCGCACCAAGAAGAAATGATATGGTTTCAAAAATTCAGTTGCAAATGGCTCAAGTGGGGAGACAAAAATATAGGCTTTTTCCATGCATCTACTCTTGTGAGAAGAAAGTGCTAGAAAATTAAATGCTTTAAAGATGATGATAGTGTGCGGGTAAGTGATCAAACCAAGCTTAAACAAATGGTTGGTAATTTTTTGAAATCTCTCTATTCTAGAGACCCCACTTACTCCTTCCCTTCGGGTTGGTTTACTGCTTTTCCTCTTATCTATCCTTCAACCCTGAACTGGATTCATAGAAACATAGATGCTATTGAGATTAAGAACGCCACTTTCACTAAAAATGCTTTCAAAGCTCCAAGACCTAATGGTATTCAAGTTCACTTCTTCCAGATGCAGTGGGATACTGTTAGTTCTTCAATTTTCTCTTTAATCAAAGATATTTTTGCCAATCCTCAAAAAGTTAGTGAAATCAATCAGACTAATATTGTGCTCATTCTTAAGATTAACTCACCCTTGTCCCTAAAAGAGTTTTGGCCCATCTCACTTTGTAATGTTAGCTTTAAAATCATCATCAAGCTTCTAGCTAATAGACTTAAACCCATCATTGATAATCTAATTGGGCCTGAATAATGTAGTTTCATTGCTAGTAGATCTAGCTGTGATAATATCATCATCACTTAGGAAGCTATACATACCATGAGGACCAATAATAAGACAAATGGGCATGTTGTAGTTAAAGCAGATATGGAAAAAGCCTTTGATTGCCTCGATTGGCAATTTATTGAAGACATTCTTCATTGCATTGGTTTAGACCAACATCTTTATTCTCTTATTTTGTCCTACATATCAACTACTTTAATGAGAGTTTTATCGAATTGTGAAAATAGTGAGGAGTTTCATCTTACTTGAGGCATCAGATTAGAGGATTCGCTTATCCCTTACATCTTTGTGCTTTGCATGGAATGACTTGGGCGATACATTAAAGCAAAAATGTGTAGCTAAATGTTGGAAACTGCTTAAATTCAAAAGGAATAGCCCTTGTATTTCTTATTTCTTCTTTACAGATGACCTAATCTTCTTCTTTAAAGCCTTAACTAATCAAATTGAAGAAATGAGGAGAATTTTATGTTGTTTTTACTTAGCTTCTGGACAATAAAGTGAACCTAAACAAGTCAAAGATGTTTGTTTCAAAAAAAAATGTTAATTTCAACATGCAGGGAGAACTGAGTTAAATCTTGGGTATAGGAATCACAACAAACTTAGGAAAGTATCTTAGAGTACCAATAATCCATTCTCATGTCACTAAATCCTTATTTCACTCCTTGTTCAGAAAGTAAAGAAGCAATTATCAAGCTGGATCTCACCATAGTAGGAAGAAGTATCCTAATTAAAGCCACCCTATCTACAATTCCAAGTTACCAAATGTAGTCAACCCTCCTTCCTAAAGGGATTTTGGATGAACCTGAAAAACTAACCAAGAATTTTCTATAGTCTCAAGATGATAAAGTCAAAGGCATGCATTTGATTGCATGGGATAAAGTACTTATGGAAAAGAAAGAAAGAGGACTTGGTTTCAAATCCTTAGGGCAACAAAACAAGGAATTCATCCTCAAGCTTTGTTAGAGTCTAGTTACGAAGCAACATG